ACTAAACAATCAGACTAGAACGCGTGGCGATAAAAATGTATCGCTAGATCTTGTAAACACTGAGCGAAATGCACCTAGTGACTATATTCAATGTGCCGTCACTCAATTGCTTTCTCGATTTCATTAATTGACGATAGTAATTGCAGTAAACAAGGAAGAGGAAATGCCGAAGACAAAACAACGTCGGGTCTTTGTGTGACTTTCTCCCTAAACACTTTTTATGTTGCTGTCAAAGAAAAAGGAGCCGAGATAGCGATCATTTAACGTTTGATACACAATGTTCATTAATGTCATAATTTTGGCGATTTATTGAAACCATATTTGTACAGAGTAGGTTTGCATAAGTTAAGCAACAACCAGTATGAAGAACAACTCCCTTTTTAAATGAGGCAAGACACCCTCTTCACGTTGATTATAACCTTGATAAAGACATTATGCAACAAGGCAAAGGAGTTATGGAAAGTTCCTTCAACTTGTGTGTGAATACAACACATTCTTTGTCACTTTTACAAGACAATGGAGGCGAGCAAGCGGAATAATTACAATATACAATAAAAAGGAAATAAGTTTAAAAAGCTTACTTCGGGTCAGCCCTTTGTTTGTTCTAAAGAAAGAGATAGATATCGCGCCGCGACTCCTTTTATTAAACCTTCGTGTGTTTGTGTAAAAGTGTGAAAGACAGGCAACGGTCTTGACTCGCCGTTGATATTGTTCGCGATTAATATTGAAGTATACCTCCTTCGCCTGCATGTAAACGTGTTACTTTTCCTCATGTGCACTATATTTCTTTTAGGTGGTTGAGACAAGGCGATGAGATCGATAAAAGCAGAGGTTAATCTAAACAATTAGATGCGATTTTTGTGAAATGTTTAAATTCTTGAATTTCTAATTTTTAAAATCTTGCATACACGGCCTCATATTTGTATTACTCTCAGGCCATACTTTTCGATATTATTGTGTTACACGGGACTTCTGGAAACCTGAAGCATAGGGCATTGTGAAACTTAATTCGCTACGGAGTCTTTTTATCCTTCAGGCAGTTTTATAGCTGGGATGAACACTGCGAAGTAGAAACAGGCTTTACTTAGCTTTACTTAATATACGACACTTTAAACAAAACCAGTCTGCAAGGCTTGCTTTGATTTGGCGTTAACCTTACACTGGTTTTAAAAGAACAAATATAAATATGTTGGATGGATTAAATCACCGACTTCGTTATAATTTAACTAAATGTGTTCATTTACAAGTAACACATATAATATTTATAAGTTGTCTGTCGTTCAGCACGCATTATAGGCGAGTAGCTAAACAGTGTCGATGATCACAGTAATTGTATAGGCTTCGTTTAAGCTTGTTCGAGAGATAATAACAGTCGCGTTTAACAATAGATAGCGAGCTATAGTAAGACCCCCTCCTCTTCAACTGATGATTTACACTGTTAATTGACCGTACTTTCATATATTGTATGATCACACAGTCAGACTTTCCCCGGTTGCACGTTGGAGTTAGATTGTCCTTGCGCCTAGGCTATTCCAGTGATTTGCTACCAGAGCTCTCAAGCGGCAACCAGAAGAGGTCAGGGGTAACAGCGACCGTTACTGTGACTTGATACTGAGATGAGGGTCCGTTTTGGAGGGCGTATCATTTTCACAGACGATAGTTTGGAAAATATGGAGATCAGAAAATCTCTTTTTATGGCTGTCGTATGACAAAGAATAATTAATGTAGTTTTGTTTCGCTTCAGGCGAATTCAATTAATGAACTGATGTCACAATGACATCAAAGAGATAATTAAATGTTATCAAAACACGATTTTAATCCCTATTTTCATTTATCAGTCAGCAAAATAGAAAAAAAATATTTCGAAAAAATATTCCATTTTAAATGTCAAGTCTGTATATTCACCATTATTAATAATGAGATTTATCATATATAAGTCCGCAAGAGAGATATACGGAATATCACACTGGGCAGTATGACTGGTACATGTAGTTCTATAAGACCTGGTATATATAAATGATGCCTGTAGCAACATCGGCCACATATTTCTCTTCCTTCCGTATTTCCACTTTCTTCCAAAGCCCGTTGTCTTCGTGAATCTTCAGCCAGTCGTCCCAGCTCTTGCCGTCATACCCACAGTCTGGAATATGTTCCTCTCTTGTAGCCATGACAATATACCCGCCTGTAAAGATAGCAGATAAAGCGAGATTCCCTTCCGTGGACTGCAGTTAATATTGTTAATGGGAATTATTAGAAAGACCCCAATGCCCAGGGACTTCTAATTAAATGAAGCGAGATTTTGCGGGATTGGAGGAGAGTGGGAAATGAGATGCATCAACGAGTAAAACCAGACATAAGTTTGATTGTCCGCAGATTTTTTTTTTTTTTTTTTTTGTATTATCCAGGGTTCTATCTTATTTAATTGTGTAGCAAAACGATGCAAATTCAATGTTTAAGATGTAAATTTTAAACTCTCTAAGAATAAAAAATGGTAATTAAAACAAATGTTGCGGTGCCTCGAACGTGTTTGCTTATCTCGGATGCCTCCCTTTAATTACCACTTTTTTTTACCATGAATGAACGTACCTGGCTTGGTGATTCTAATAAGTTCTGAAAGGCAGCTGGCATCGATGTTGTTCGCCGCCAAGCAACCAACAGAGACCACGCAGTCATAATATCCTGCAATCAAGGGCTAACAAGTTCAGTTTCATTTTATAACAAAGGCAATTTATAATCTTGAACAATAATTTACCTAAAGTAGAGCGAGTGTCATGCACTTAACCTCCAATCCAAAAGATAGCAAGATAGAGTATCAATGATGTTAAGATTTACCAAAACACTGTTCATTTAGTTATATGTAACTGGAAGTACACTCTATGTCTCTGTTATCATTTCACCCACTGCAATATTTATGCCACCTATTTACAATTTACGAGGGCACATCCCATCTCTCCAGACCGTGTGATTCTGATCATATTCAAAGTATACTATATGTGCCATTTCTATATTAAGATCATAAGGTTAGCTTGCACATTGTGTTGAGTCAGTATACCTGATTCGATATCCAATCTATTCGGCCCTAATAAACCACAAATACTCCTCTTGTAAATCCCTTTCTGATTGGCTATGTTCAACATCTCCTGACTTCCGTCCAGAGCCTCCAGGTTTGTGAACCCACGTTTTTGAATCTGATGATAAAAATCAACAAATCTGAGTTGAACATTTTTATGCACCTTTTTAGTATTAAATCAATTGCCATAATTTCTAATACCATTTAGAACTGACCCCATGGATCGAGCTGGACGTAACAAGTTTTTACCACAAGAAGAACTGAAGGATAGCAAGCAAAAATAAACATCACTGATTTTGCCAGATAACTGTTTTATCGCGACCCGTATCCCCTGCTATACTAATATACATATGTGTATTTACCATTGTTTGGTTACTGTAGACGTAAGGAAACACTGGGTGCTAAACCTTGATTGCTATCTCCGTGCAAACCAACGTGTGAAAGATATCGCCAAAGTTACAATAGACACGAATCAACTAAGAAGCAATCGATGAAAATTTCCATCGAAACAATAATTATTTTGAAGCTTCTGGGTAAGTTGAGAGATAAGAAAGGACAAGACACACCGCTTTCCCGACCCATCCGGTGCCAGCTCCTGCGTCCAATATCAAAGCATCTTTGTTTTCTCCAAAAAATAAATCCAGCACTTCTGCAACAATGGCTGGCCCTTTGGGTCGCATTTCCTACAAAAGTCAATTTTATGTACAATTTGATCACGATAAGGAGCAAATATGGAAAAATACAGCAAAAAAATAATGTTTAAGTGAATGTACTTTAACAAGAGGTCTATCTATCTATTTATCTATAGGCTTACATGTAGTCGTGTCTGTGTGTCTGTGTGTTTTTGTGTGTACGTGTGTGTTTTGAAATATAATAATAATAATAATAATAATAATAATAATAATAATAATAATTTATTAAGATTGCAACCCAGTGGGTTGAAGTTGTACATAGAATGTTAAAGAAAATTTATAATGATAATAAAATGAATATTTGCATGAATAAAACTGGGTTAAAAGACTGCTAACTGAACTTTAAAATTATTGTACTTAGACTGCTAACTGAAATTATTGTACTTAGGATAAAAGACAGCATAATACTATTGGAAATTTAAAAGTGCATATGGAATAAAAGAGCATCGGAATCTGTCGGTCTTAAATTTTGGCACTTTGTATCTATTGTTAGATCTTAAAAGACGATTGGAATGCTCAATTAAGATGTGATTCAATTTGTCATAGGATTCAGTTATTTTGTAAAAGAAAGTTTTGCACAGATCTTCCCTTCGTTTTTCTAAAGTGCACATATTTGCCAGGTTCAGGGCTTCATCATAGTGTAGGTCAGGGAAAATAATTTTTAAAGCACGACTTTGGACAGTCTCTAAAAGTTTGCATTTCTCTATATTAGTCCTGGATGCCACACAGGGCAGGCATATTCTAGAATTGAGCGCACAATACTTTGGTAAACTTGGATTAAGTCAGCAGGGCTGAGCTTAGCTCGCTTCAGTTGACGGAGGGTGTTATATAAAAGTAGGGTGTAAAATTGTAAAAAATACTAAATTTTATAATCAAAGATGTCTCACTGCAACATCTAGGTCATAGCTTGGTGCCCACTGGCTGTAGAGGTCCAGGTTTTCTTCTACAGTATTGGTCGCAGAGTTTGCACCGTCAATCTTAGCCCATACCTCCGCCTGGCGTGTTGTGGACATTTTGAAAAAAAATCCTGAAATCAAATAAAAAGACATTTCTGCAAACATATACTCTCGTTGCATCAATATATTGGGCGGGCAGCGTGTATTAAAGTAGTATGCATTGGCGTCACGAAAAACACTTCTCAAAGCATTTTCCCACTTACAGATTGCTGATCATTTGTAAACTCTTTGCAGACTAAATTTTTAAAGACGAAAATCGGTATGTAATATTATTTATTTAATTTATAATATATGTAAAATAGTGGCGGATTTAGAGAGGTTCAAGGGGGTTCTAAACCCCCTTCAGTTTCTGAAAAATATATATATCACCAATATTCCCCTCTTGAAATTAGAATTTTGACAAGCTAAATCATAGTTGTAAACCGTACCAAAGGCCACTGTTTGCTCTACAGGGCCCCGAGCCTCACACCAAGGGGGGGATGGCCGGCTTTGCATCTGAGTTTTGTGGCTGCGCCCCCCCCCCCCTTCAAATAATCCTGGATCCGCCCCTGTAATACGCACGAGGAGATGAGCATGCAAGCTGACACTACAGTAATCTAAACTCACCTTTCCCTTCTGAAATAGGTTGGCTGTATAGAGCACCAGGTGTAAGTCGGTATATTGGCGGAATTGGTGACATCAGTATCACTTGAATGTCTCTGTCGTTCTACACCGCTGCACGTTGAAGTTTACCCAGTACCATGCTATTATTTAATATGTCACAAAAGATCACTGGTTTTATATGTACCTATGTCCACCATTCAGGTAGATGAGGGGCTGCATTGACCCTGTATCCATGCAATTAAAAAGACTGGACAACATCATATGTGAGAGATCACAGCAATGAGTAATGGCAAAAGTCCTACGAGAAAGCTTCCATTGGTTTTAATATTTTAACTATGTAGCTGCCCTGTACCCACCAACAGAAATATAAGCAGAACTATACAAACAGTTAAAAGGCATAAACTCATGTGGAGTGAACCAGCATGCATACGTCTAAACAAAGCATGACTAGGTAATTTCATGGACATTTATATATATATATATACATGTATGTTTCCCTATAATTCACGAGGCGCAGTGATAAGGAAAAGACATGGTTTTGGAAATCGGATCCTGATTTTGATTCTTTCGTGACTCCAACAGTGGCCACATATATATATATATATATATATATATATATATATATATATATATATATATATATATATATTAGTACCCTAGTATTGGTCAGCGGGGGCTGCAGTGTATCCCTGTGACAGGGGTGATTGAAAGGTCTAGGTCGTTTTACACCGCGGTGCATGAAGGATACTCGGTGCTGTGACTTCACTTTATACATCAAACACCGTTAGGATGATATATGTATTCAGCATCAAGAGCTGATGGCCATTTCTGTTTACATATCACACTCTAATGAACAGAGTTTCAAACTGTTTTCACAAATTCGGACTCATTCAATCGGCCTTGTTTTGTATTCGCAAGCGTTGCATGTATCAGGCCTAACCAACTACCAGACTCGGCACCTAAGGATCCTGAATTAACCGGTATATCGGACCACACTACCCGTTTTCAAGGTGTGTGTCAGATCGCATTTCGGAGTATCAGTCAGAACACCGACAGGATGAGCCCACGCTCGGCTGTCACCTTGATTGGATAGTAAACGATTGTCGTATTTAATCGCTATATGGTTTTAAAACCGGGTGCATAAATTTGAAAGCCACCTAGATGAACCTTAGACTGCCACATTAATCTAATACAATGCAAAAAAGCCCTATCAAAAGTGGTTAAAACATTCAAACCGAATGTCGTAAAGTCCCCATACACCCCCATAGAGACAATGAAATAGAGTACACTAAAGTAAGAGTACTGTTTAAGGTTGTTCAGCCGAGCGTGGATGAGCCCGCAGTCGTCCTACAAAATTTGTTCTGCAGGATGATATTCCGAAATGCGATCTGACACACACCTTGAAAACGGGTAGTGTGGTCCGATATACCGGTTAATTCAGGATCCTTAGGTGCCGAGTCTGGTAGTTGGGTAGGCCTGATGTATGCCTCGGCATGGGTGATTTTTACGTACAAGAAATGAAATGTGTTGTGTTACCAGCATTTTGAAAGTTATTTTTATCTGTTACGTGCATAATTAAGAACAGACAAACGCACATAAAAATACAGACACACACACGCACACCTAACCGAAAACAAAATCAACTTCGAAGCGTTTTCCTTCAAAACACTCCGTGGTTTAGTACAGAGTATCATTGCTTTCAATGTTTTTCTTTTCTTTTACATTCATACCTAGATGATAAAATTATTTCGTCGGTATTTGTTTACAACACTTGTTGTGTCCTGAGCTTGAGCAAGTAATTTCGGAAGCTTACATGTACATGTGTGTCGATAACATGGGTGTCCATTTTTTGCCATGTTTAACATTCCTAAAAGTCGGCAGTGTCATGTCTTTGATGCCCGTAACTTACGAGATGCACTGACTCTGGTGGTACGTACAGTCAACATGCACTCAAGGGAATACATATATCTATGGAACTCTACAGGAATCCTACTCTATAGTGATCATACCGGGCTTACTATTCATATATTGAACATATATTATGTACAGGTAGGATTCGGAGCCATTTTCCTAGAGGACGTCATATAAGGGGGGGAGGACAGGGACTTTCAACAGAAAGAAGAAATAATATGAAATGGATGTACAGTGTAGGTTTTTTGTTTGCTTTTCTTGTCAGTCAATTTTTCATTGCTGCATGTATAACTATATAAAGATAAGTGAGGAGACCAGTGGACATTTAGCAGGTCACATGGTTTTAATCTCTTCAACTTATTTGATAATTACTAAGAAGGTGTGGTAACAGATTTAATTGATTTGAATCAGGGCAATTTGAACGGGTTTTCATTAAGTTTTCGTAAGGTTTGACAAGTACTTTCCATTCCAAAGACAATATTTATTCATCGTATGCGATTCCATACAAGTTTCAAATGAGAATAAACAAGATAATAAACTGCAGACTATTTATATGGAAAAATAAGACAAGGCTTTAAAAAGTTAATTTCACAATAAGTTATGTTCCTCTGGTTAGCCAGTTTGACTTATTATAGAACCAATATGATATTTAATAATTAAATAATTTAATTTAATTTAATTTGAATGGCTCTCCAATGTTTGTAATTTCTGGTAGATATTTATTTCGTATCGGCAGTTATTCTCTTAACAGTTTATCCCAAACGTTTTAGTTCCTCGTATAATATAATTAGCCAGATATTCAATAATAAAAGCAATAGGCTATTTTTTATCTGTTGCATCAGAGTTACACCCGACGTGAAGAAATCTGGTTGTTGTGGAAATGCTATCACATACCCACTTAATTCTGCAACTCCAGAAATGTGCTCCGTAACATGTCGCTTCCCATCGACAGTTGTGCTGAGTCGGGCTGTCAGTGACCACGTTGTCAGCGGCCTGCTGAATGAGATAAGCGGCCACTTCTGCTGGCGCAGGTCGGTAATCCAGCGAGCTCATGTAGGCGGCGGCCGCGCCAGCAACAAAAGCGGCAGCAACTGATGTACCGCTACCTTGGTCGTAGGCGTCCGGGGAGCCGGTTGTGCTACTGAGTATGTCCGTGCCCGGAGCCCAAATGTCTACCTCGGGCCCATAGTTGGAATAGATGGCCTTGGTGTCTCCTGTGGCTGATGCACCAACAGTGATGGCGGCTTCCGAACTACCGGGGGATTGGTAAAATGACAGGCCATTATTGTTGCCAGACCCCGTTATTATTGTCACACCATAATTAGTAAATGTCTGTATCACATCATTAAAAGCATCGTTGCGACTGGACTGCAATGCCAGCACCATAATAGACTTCTGACCAGTGGCGAGTATCGGAAACGCTGCTTCGTACATCGCCCATATGGCCCAACTGACTTGCCCAGATCCAGCATCATTTAGTATTTTCACGTTGATAAGATTGACGTTTTTGGCCACGCCCACTGTTTTCCCGCCAATAATCCCGGCCACGTGGGTGCCATGTCCATAGATGTCGGTAAAGTTCCAGCTGTCCAAGGCTTTGAAACCCTCAGAAACACGTGTGGAACCGTCGCTGTTTGAAAATTCTTGATGTTCCGCGTAAATCCCTGAATCAAAAATATAGACGTTGACGTCACTTCCGGTACCCATGACATTGAATTTGCCGTCCAGTTGGCCATTCGTTTGATCAATCCTGTCAAGGCCCTTATATGTGAAAAAAGTGAAGAGTAAAAATCAATCTTGTTTTTATTTAACCTGTTTATATTTAGTTCTTAACAAAGATTATATATCAAACTTACCGGTGACGCTATAATCCCCCCATCTTCTCAAGGAAACAGCAGGGCAAGAAAGCAATATATTAGCCCCAGACATAATAGATCTATATAAAAGTGGCATATAAGGCCCCATCACCATCTTTCTGATTTACAAGACCCCATGACTACAATACATCACTTATTCATGTAGACTTGTTCTTGTTGGCGAACACTCTGAAAAGCCATACTATACACACCCAGTCTGTTGCAGCCGTCTTCGGTGGGCATACGTTGTTGTCCACAGGTTCCTCAGCCGCCGGACACTCACAGGGGACGTGGCATACTGGTGCCTGTGCCGTGGTCACTATACTGTCCTGGTAGATGGCTTCCACCACGTCCACCCTGCGCCGTAGTAGACGGAGACCCCTGTAGTTATATAACGATGGACGTGCAGTAATTTGCACAATAAGAAAAAGTTACGCAAGGGCTTTCTTTTACCAAAAGTATTGAAAGGCACGGTAGTCAACGGAAAGTGAATTGGAGAATTTGCCTTATAATATATACCCTTATACTTCACCATTCTCATTATCTTGACTGTTAACATCGACTATCCTTTGGAGATGTTGGTTAAAGATGACGCAAGTGTTAAAATTTATTAAACAGGTAAATCCAATTGTCAATCTGTTTTAACGGTATCTTAGAGAGAAAATGCATTTAAAGTAATCAATTACACATCGGTGTCGTCACCAGCTTAAACGGTCATGTGTAATATGTGTAAATATATGTATAAAAAAAGATCAACAATGACATTAACACTGTGAATGGTTATTCCAGAAATAAAGGGAAAAATAGGTCAGACATATTCCAAACTACTCACTCCTCTTGTGTTTCGACTACAACCATCTTCGTGTCCCCGAAGTCCATCATCACCCCGACCGAGGGGTCATTTTCAAAGGCAGAGCTACGTCCATTTGTGACAGAATATGGTTCGGACTTCAAATTATCCACAAATGTTGATGCTGAAAAAGGAACAAAGAATTGAATATGAAATACATACATGCAGTTGTGAATCTTCAAATATGTTTTGCATTTTTAACCACACTGTCAATTCTAGTAACAACAACAATTTGCAAAAAGACAATATGCAGCCTTCGACAACAGCTTGCAGCAACAATTATTTCAGCCTGTCTTTTAGTGCAAACAGGGATTAATAAATGTAGACAAGTTTACCTAATGGAAACTAATAGTATTCTGCCATCTCATTTGCATGAGGCTATACCCAGTAACAGAGAACGAAATCATCACATTATCATAACGTCCCAGCTAACATATCAGGTTGGGATCACGTGGCTAGAGCGTTGCTACCACATTATAACGTCATAGCCACAGGTTAGCCACGTGGTATCAACGCAATCTGTTTGCTGGGGCTAATATAACCAAAGAACCCCCCTCCCACCAAAAAATAAAAAAAAAAAAAACAAAGGTTAACGTCAAGGTAACGGTAAGGTAACGATTAAAAATGCTTAACAGAAGGTCAATGTACGTACGGGTAGACTAACATGTACGGGTAGGCTAACAAGACCATCGAGCCACCGTGTAATTTCGAATAACAGTGTCAACGTCGACATATCACTTGGATGATATGAACTAATAATAATAATAATAATAATAATAATAATAATAATAATGCATTAAAAATAAAAGCGGAAGCACGTACCGGTTTGTGGGTCCACTTCCTGCTTTAGTTTGACAATGTAAGTGTCTGGCACTCCACTGTCCCCAGTGTAGGTGTGGAGTTCAACTAGAACAGAAAACAAACAATTCCACCATTCTACTTTAATATAGTGCGTTTACAAACAACACCCGGTGTATCACTAAATGTTTTTTTCTTATTCAGATGTACGGCAATAATCTCGATTGCTAAAGGATTAAATGTCACGCGTCCTCTCCAAGTTCTAAATAGTGGTTGACGTGAGAGCTAAACAGAAGATATATTTATTCATATCCACGAAAGAAAAGGATTCGCCAAAGACGAGCTCGAAAAGTGCTTTACTTACCGTTAGTAGCATCTGCGGGGAATATTCTTCGATCGCCTTCTACATAAGGCTCAGCAATGACTGTGTCAATCAGGATATAGAGGGGAAGGAGGATAGAAATCCTCGCTACAGTCCCAAACGTCATCCTTGAAAGGGGCTAAAATGTTTAGTAAACGTTATTGAACTTATAGGTAAGCGTATGAGGTGAAAGCGATATTTAGTTTATTCATGTAGCTGCACTGCTGTTTGATGGCTATATAGCATTCATAAATTTAGAAAGAAGATCAAATATGTCATAACACGCCTTTAAGTAATATATTTAATAAAAATTGTATCTAATAAAACGTTACATCAAACTCTCACATAGACACATGCTATAGCACGAGAAAAAAATGACTTGCCGTTTTCCTGCGATGTCAGAATAACCACTTCGTGCCTGCATGTCCTGACAATAAGTATCCGCTGCGTTGATTGCCGTTCAGGTAGTGCATATTCTTCCAAGCGGTAATGCAGTCACACTGTTTTCCATCAGATCCTTAATTGTTGCTTATCTTTCAGCAACGGAGCCGTTAAGGCGAAGATACCATGTAGACGGTATGGAATCCATATGGTATTTGGGCAGGACAACCCTAAAAATGTCAATGACCGGCTAAATTTCGCGACAACATGTTGAGCGACCGCAAAACAGCAGATTTGGTGTGCAGTTGCGGTCAGTGATCAGCTTTTCATTTCCATCGGCGCCGCCGGTGTGGCGAAACTCGGGTTCCGTGTAACGGAGAGTCCACCATCCATTAGATAATAAAGGTTAGGGTTGAGTCAACAAAAGGGCGAGGATCACCTGTGCAAAGTACTGGGTATTAGACTCTCTACATGGGTGACTCTCTATCCCGTCACACTGGGCTAAATAGATTTAGCCAGATATGCAATCTGTGTTCATCTTTACGAAGGCGTTAAGGTGTAGACAGACGCTATCGGCCAGCTTAAGTGTCACCGGCACTGATAACGCGCGTGAAAGCTCAATCACAGAATCACCGGCCGGTGCGCCAGGTACCTTATAAGTTTTATTACATAAGAAAAGAGACAGAAGTGTCCTCTTCGTGAAGCTACAGAACGGGTCTGTGTCACGAAGATTTCATGCAGATTTCACCAGATATTCTAAGTGAGGCTTAAAGTTTACTACCTTATGTTTGTGTTACTCTGGGCTATCACCCATCCTTGCCCTTGCACCGTCAAGTTTCTGAGCCTACCCATGCGAAGGTACCCTGTATATTGAAGTTGCAAGCATGACGCCCCATTGACAGTTCCTTTACCAAGTCTGCGAATAGCCTGCAGTTCGTTGGTGCCTAATAATACATCGAGAAGATACGAAAAACTTACTGTAATTATTCTGAAATTCGTGCTTACCATTGGACCACGTAGACCTTCATAAAAAGCTACCCTCTTTAAAAATATTTTAAAAGGTTATGAAAAAAAAAAACATTTTAAGTAAACAAACAAAATGAACATTTGAGTAACTTTGAATGTCGGAACAGATTCAGAATGTAGGTTTTTGAGAGGAAAATCCGTTCTCCCACCAAAATCAACAGTTGTTATCCATTTTATAGCCCTACAGCTTTATTGTTCATGGATATAAGCGTTACTTTGCAATTACTCTGATGGCATTTCGAACATAACATTATAATCATTGTTAATTATGATATATTTCGTGTACGCAGATAGAAACTTCGTGATATTATTGCATTTCAGAATGGACCAAAAAAGAGGAACCAAAAGTGCGCACTTCAGGCGTTAAAATTTTAATTAAAATTGTCTATCCAGATGCTGCTGAATTCAAATCAAATTTATTTAAAATACTGCAATGTTTGTAGGATTTTCAAAATTATTATCAAATTATTTAATAACGCATCCATCTTTGTGCTCATTCATAACAATGGAAAAGCCCTCAGAAATATAAAATGTCGGCGTTTATATTTTTTTCGTTGCAATAGGCAACTCAAAGCGTCATTTTAACGCCTTTCTTTTTTGAGGGGAGATAGCAATCGATATGGGACGTCACTTCATCCCTGAACAAGATTTTATCACGAAATTGGGCAGGAGAGTATAACATAAAATGCTGTGCCGTCGTTTTGGTTTAAATGTTTCTGTTACGAAGTTATGAGCCCATGTGATCAAACATTTTCTTTAAACAAAGGCATTATTTTGCTTTATCAACCGCTAAATTTTGCTTAGACTTATAAGAAAATCGCTGGTAGGCTTTTGGAGTACCAAATGATGTCATTAAATCGGCGCTGAAACAGTAAACGTGTGTGCTCAGGTAAAAGAGAAATGTGAGAAACCGATTTATCGTTACCCTAAATCGCTATAATGACGTCACCCGTAACATGGCATATGTGTAAATGTTAATTAATGTACTCACTGAACACCGAAGATTTGTTAATTACCCCAAAAAAAAAAAATGCATATAAGTCAGTAAATAAGGAGTTTTGGTCGAAGGGTGACAATATCATTTAAGTAACAGTACAGATTGCGCCCTTTGTCACATCAGCAAAATGACAAATAATTAAATTAAAGCGTCTCAAGCTGAGTATCAACATAACTGCTGTGTGAGGGGTCACATCCAACGTTCAAAAGTCTGGTTACAGAGGTACCGGGCAGGCAAATCTCCCGTTCACAGGTTCCCATCCACCAATAACAACCTTCTTCTCTGGAGATAGTCACCTTGTAACAATATTTCTCAGGGATGTTAGTGACAACGTTATCCATGGAGGTGGCAATGAGGTGTTGTCTAACCTCTGTAGGCGATGGGTTGTGGTCCAGAGTACTCATGTAGGCAGCGGCGGCACCGGCCACCATGGGGCAAGCCATGGACGTACCGCTGGATATAGCAGAGCTATCTGGGCTACCTACGTAGGCACTCAGGATAAACTGTCCGGGGGCCCATATGTCCACCCTGGGTCCATAGTTGGAGAAATAGGCCCTGTCGTCATTGTCCCACGTTGCCCCAACTGTAATGGCTTCCTCGGCATTGGCGGGTGACGTGAACGATGCCAGTGAGTTATCATTCCCAGCAGCGACAACGACTACAATTCCAGCCTCGGTCACCAGCGTGTTGACTAGATCATCGAAAAGGTCTTGCTGCGGTCCCCCTAAGGACATATTGATGATAGACTTTCGTTTTGTCACGTCCACTTGATCACGGACCCACTCTAACATTGCCATAATTCCGCTGGTATAACCGCTACCTTCGTCGTTCAATACCTTCACATTGATCAACTTAACATTTTTGGCAACTCCCGTGGTAATGCCTCCAACGGTCCCTGCAACGTGCGTCCCGTGACCATTGATGTCTGTATCTGACCAACTGGTGTCTGCTTTATTTCCAAATGTCACCCGACTGCTGTTGTCCTCACGTAAAAATTGCTGGTGCTCGGCATAAACCCCAGAGTCAAATATATACACATCGACGTCACTTCCTGTTCCCTTCACGTTGAACTTGCCGTTAGGCAGTCGTGTTGTCTGGTCGATTCTGTCAAGACCCTGTGTAAGGAAGTAATATTATCGAATTTAAAAAGGGCCAAATATGAAAACGAAAAGGCGCAGGATAGGTGTATATTGAAGTATGACGCCCCATTAACAGTTCCTTTACAAAGTCTGCGAATAACATGCAATTAGAAGATACAGAATTATTCATCTTTGTTTCTTTTCTTCCGTACATAAAATGTGCCATGTGATGGGAATGCGTTGGGGAGGCAGAATGGAGACATGATGCAAAAACTGCATCTAGATCACAGACACACATACCCAAACACCGGTATCATAAGACCAACACTGTTTGTCGCCGAGATCCTCTGTTTTATTTTGACAGTCAACCAGGCATGTACAGCCGTCGGCATACACATAGGTATCCTGGTAAATGACGTCAACAACATCTGTCTGTCTACGAAGTTGTGCAAGGCCCCTGAAGACAATCATCACGTTTACATTCATGTGTTTCTCACAGGAACCCGACCTGTTTTTTCATAATATTTTATTATCACATAAATGTTTTCCTGTATCTAAAATACACCCAGCAGTATCCCAGTGGCTAATCTTTACCTATACAATTTGCTAACATCCCTATTATAACATTTATTTTGAACTTCTTAAGTTTTAAGTAACATATTATTGTTTGAATATAAGAAAAAAATCCGTTTTTATCTGCTGTGTTCATGAAACATATGCATATACGTAGTTTACACCACCCTGATCAGCTTTGAAACATTATTTGATGAATTCATATAATCCTAAATACTTACTTATCGGTTGTCTCGATTGTAAGGAACTTTATTTCCCCTACTTCATGAAGTTTTCCGACTTGCGGCCCCCGACCACGTCTTGTGTTGCCAAAGGCTGTGGTGGTCATTTCAGCTTTCAAAGTATTGGTAAAATCTAATGCTATTAAGAATAAAATATAAAAGGCTGAAACAGTTACAAAATACTCTGCATTATACATATGTATTTATAAGTGTAACCATAGCCACTTTTAATATACATTTGTTTAAGAAGCCTCGCATATGCAGTATATGTATATGTTTTGTCTATGCGTATAGTTAATGTATATGTGTATCGCAATTTAATTAATTCATCGTTTGTTAATATCAAATCATGTACGTACCGAGATGCAGTATTTTCCACTCTCTATATGTCAAGTTTTGTTTTCATAATCTTTACAACAGTTAACTTATTCCCTACAAAATATTTTATTAATAAACCATCTTACCCTTCCCACGTGAGAGGCCGGTCTTTAATTTTACTATGTATGAATCCGGTATTCCAGCACCACCGACGTATCGAATGACTTCAGCTAAGGAAAGCAAATATGTGATATTCAAAGAAAAATGAATACAGAACAGATGAAGTAATTAAAGGAAATATACTTTCGAAGAACAGCGGATAATTAAAAGAGACACAATTGTGATAAAAATACTTAACTTGCAATTAGAACGCGTCTATACAATTACTACAGTCAACTAATGAACAATTTATAATGTTTAGCACATGTCGGGTGTCGCATGAACCGTTTCCAACTCTCACACTCAAAAAATGATAACAAACGTAAGAACTGTGGGCATGTTAGGCCACAAAGATAAGTCAATATAATAAACAGAACCTTTAAATCTTACCTCCATTTCTATCTGCAGGTGTCCTCTGTATCTTTCCATACTTTCGCTGACTGTGTGGTGGACTTCCCACCATCATTGTGTCCTGGTATATGTGTTTCTCAGAGCAGCAGGGACTCGCAATGGTAACCAGCAAAAGTAACAGCAACACAAACTGTGCCATGTTGGGCCTAAACAAGATATATGAAACACCATATATGAAAGTCAATAAATGTACCATAAAGTATTCCAGGACCATTGAAGGAATGCATTATACTAGCGGCTTAGCGTATGGTATGTAAATGCGCTTGACGTAAGCCGATTTATGCGACATGACTACACACCATGGAACGACCAAGTGATTTTCAGCACGGTGAGTATATATTTTAACATTGAATAGATGAATCAATTAATGTCTAATCTAAAAAGAAAACAACTTGACTGTACATGATTGAATAATAATTTCTGATGTCCAGTTACATACAACAGATAGTTCAATTATCTTAGAGAAAAAAAATCAGCTTTTTCTTATGCGATTAAAAAAAGGAGCACTTACTTTAGCCAAGTGTAAAACTCCCTGTCCTGATGTTATACCCTGGGAAGACAATACTTTGAAAATGTTCTTTACTGCAAGGACCAGCTACATCTGTCGGAGACCATGAGGTATTATACTTGAACCATGGAGAGTAGCAAATGAATGTCACTTGCCTCATAAATCATCTGATTACCGGGTACATTGCCCGCTAAGCCTACGTCTTCTCAGGTATGGCCGGAAAGCGGCCCCTCTTTAATAATTTTTAAACAGACTTCATGCCTACATATGCCTCCACCGTTTTATTTGTCCGTAATTTTGACTCCAATCTTAATAAAATTTTTCACAAATATACCATGAGCGAATCAGGTCCCCACATCTTGTGTAAGGTACAGAGATACCACATGAGGCTTACATACAAATAATTAAAGTGCAATGTTGCATACGCCACGAATATGAGACTGCACCTTAGAAATTATGTCTTAAGCAGTGAAACTGAATCTGTTTGTGAAACATTGAACAAGTGATCATCATTCGTGTTTAGATGGAATCATGAACTCTGTCTTTGGCATAATTGATGTCAAAATTGCACCATTCAAAAGTTTTAAGTGATTTGACGTCACTTGCGTGTTAATATTTTTTCGGTCTGTGTGATCAAAGCAGTAACACCACCCATGTGCATCACGTATGATAAGCCTACCCTATATAATAAGACCGCCGATTCTACCAGCAGCACCGATATGGAACAGTAAATGTTACACTTTGGGCAGCATTAGACACACTTTCATGCATCAACACCAACTGCTTTCATTCTGTATCAAGGGATATTATATCACAGTTTGTTGTTAATATGTTGAACCATAGCTAATATCGTAAGTCTCGACAATGCAGAATCATTGGCATATTATATATTATGCTATTATATGAATATATTTGTTTCAGGATAAAGAAAAACACTTTAATATGTCCAAATGTTGTGAAATATGCGTTTTCTTTTTTCTTGTTGCTATCAAAAATCCAAGAAAATGTAGGTGCNCGGGATTATTATTTGTCTTTGAAACATTTAGACCAGCAGTATCGAATGCTAACTAATCTATATATCGTGTAAACTTGTACTGATGGGCTGCCGATATACCGGTACATGTACAAACGTGCAAACAGGCAAGAATGTGGTTTCACCGAGGTAGTTGTAAAAATGAATATGAAACACTTTCAGTCATGCAATGGGCTTACATTTCAGAATGGAACGTATTCCGCATCATCGTTGATCTCTATTTGGCTGGAACTGACACAACAGCTAATACTTTGAGATGGTCCCTGGTTCATATGGTAAATCATCCGGATGCTCAGAAGAGGGTGCAACAGGAAATTGATCAGGTAACGTCATAAAACTGAGCACATGAGACGGGTATATTACTAATTTAGAAGTTGGCTTTTTACATGCATTTTTATTGTGTTGCAACGGTTTTATGCTTGTAAAAATAACGTGTTCCAAAATGAATGAGTTTTTTTTTTTATAAAAAATAATATTTATTTAGAGATCGATAAGATTTAATGTGTTTAACTTAAGGTAATAGGTCAAGGTCGTGTTGCCAAGATGGAGGACAAGGACAGGATGCCATTCACAGAAGCAACCGTACTGGAGGTCTTTCGTTTGTCCACCGTTGGTCAGTAAATTTTAGTCTTAATTTTAGTTAAAATCGTTTTATAATCTTACAGTTCGGAAATAACTACCAACAAATGATTCATTTCAAAAAACAACAGCCAGGTATATCTAAGATCAAATATACCAGTTAAATATATATATATGTTTAAAATGGAAATTCAACAAAAGAGGACGCGAGTTTGTCCTATTTCCTGTCACGTTTTTGATAGTGGTTTTCCAGTCACATGATATACGTACTTTAGTATGCAGATACTCGTTTTAAGAACACTCTTTATTCCTTCACTTTCTTTACTAGTATCCCTATATTCAAATAAATCATTTAATCTAATATATATTTTTATTCTTTTTTTCTCTTCCATGTCATCAGTCCCTCTTGGAGTTCCCCATGCCACCAGTGAAGCAACCAACTTGGCAGGATACACTTTTCCCAAGGGAACGGTAATACTGGGAGATTTGTACCGGGTTCTCCACGATAAGAATAACTTCGAAGATCCTTACAAGTTCAAACCAGAAAGATGGCTGGATGGCGACGGTAAAGTGGTCAAGTCGGACAAACTGATACCGTTTTCTATGGGTATGCTACAGTACATGTGTTCTATTCTTAAATCCATTATATCTCATAAGTTAAAAAGACAAATAATAATAATAGTAATAATTATGATTATAATTGCACTTATGCATTAACATGTTGTTAAAATAAATGTCTTATATATATTGTGAATGTAAACATCATACCTCGACCGACTCTACGCAAACCACAGCTATTAAAATGACATAATTAAACTCACTGTAGTAGAAGGTCCTTAGTTTGATTCAGATCAGGCCATATTCGGACTAAGTAAACCAAGGATGGATTTACATAAAAGTACTAAAGATCTATACTAATTATTTCATTTTTATTTTTCCATTCATTTTAAATGCTCCTGCTTTATTCATTCATTTATTTATTTATTTCAGGACCCCGTATTTGCCTGGGCAAGGGACTGGCGGAAATGGAATCGTTCATTTTCTTCACCACGTTGCTTCAGAATTTTACCTTCAAGGTACCAGAAGGCGAGAAACCACCCGATGGAGTGGAAGGCCTCAACGCGTTCACTTTCACGCCATACCCCTACAACGTGTGCGCTGTTAGACGCTAGAACGGAGATACACTGTACCTTACTATGAATCTACAGGTTACTATTTGTACATGGACAACATTATCTGTATAAATACATCAGATAATCCGAGTCTGACATGTGACTGTCAGACTGACGGTATCTAAACTAAAATACTTCGTTTAGTCTCGAAATGGTTTCCGTGCCTTTCCTCTTGGCAATAATGTTTTTAATGTATCGCTATAAAGAACGTCGTGCAGTTGTTTGAGTGTTTAAAGTATATATTGATAGATTCGTACTTTGAAAACCGTAGATACGTGCATTGTGGCGGATGAAGAACCTTTTCTGCAATGTGCCTGAAAGGATTATTCTTCTAATGAGGCGGGGAAAGTTTGATTGCTCCAAGAACTGTACACTTTACAAGTAATAGTGCTCATGCCAAGTAGTGTACAGAGGTATACAGTGTATATACGTATGAGTATCGTATGTAAAACCGATTATACGCTTTTTCGACGTATGAGAATAAACGTATAGCTATAAACAGCGCACGAGTTTGTTTTTGAAGCTTATCAAAACATTTCATCTCCCCCGCGTATGAAAAAATGTATACAACGAAGGCCGAACGCACCCTTTGCGTTGGGTAATTTTCCTCACACGTTTGAGTGCGACAGTACCTTTTAATACATCGACCCAGTTTTTGACAGCTAGATTTCTGGTTGAATGTTTATACACGTGTGTTCTCCCAGTGACAGTAGAGGAGGCCTGGAAAACTTTGCCCCTATTATTCCTTTCAATTATGCCGTACCTACCACACAAAGCAAGGTGTGCTGTATGGGTGGGGAAGAGTCCCCTTCTCTCTTAAGGCAATCAAGATGGGTTGTACGGGTGAGGAGCAGTCGCCTGCGCTCTCTCCGCATATTTGCTCATTTTCCTTGCCACCCTACCATAATATGGGACTGAGATGGGGGTATAGGTAGTGCGAAATGACTCAACGACTCAGCACAACTATGTGTAAAATACCACTTTGGGTATTTTATAATTGATATAAATAATTAATTAAAATAATATTCATATCCTAAGATAAGCGTAGAAGGGGGCAGTCAATAGACATTCGGGAATGATCGTGACCAGGGTACATGGCACGAGATAAAATTTAGAAATGCCTTTGAAGGCTAGGGCGGGTAATGATGATCCAGGAAACACGGTGACTAAGTTATGGCAAAGCCTGAGACAAAAGGACTGCGCTCAGTCAAGTGTTATTTCTTCCTGGTTATTAAATTTCCTGAATGATCTGTAAAGGCTGCCCTGTTTTAAGGTTATTTCATATCGTATTTACGCTCTGGCGATATCATTATACATTTTGGACTGACAGTTACTATGTAGAAGAAACCTCTGTATATTTTCCAAAAGACAGTATTAAATTTCCACTTGCATCCAAATGAGAATCTTGTTCATTTTACTGGATCCGCTGGGCGCACAACACTAAGGCCCAAGAACCGGCGCGTTATCTAACGTGACATTATTTTCACGTAAAGTCTGACTGACGAAGTCTGGGACTGAACATATGGTGTATGTATTTGCAAAAAAGGGGGAGACTGGGGGGGGGGGGGGTCACCCTCCGACCCCTGTACACAAACTGTTTTGTTTAGACTTTCAGTGCAACCCCTTTGAGGTTTGCTATGATCATACAAATATGTACACGTGCACACGCTGGCGCTACTATCGGGTTAAATGGTGCATGAATTGACCTTGAGCCGTGTTGACTTTCAGGGGTTATACCGCTATATATATATCACTACCGTCATTCTGATTTTCACATTGCTCTGGTAAGAAATCGTAACTCGAAATATCTTGCGTCATCAGCACACTAAGCTCAAAATGGCTAACGCCGTACAGGGTATTATGGAGTTTTTCTCAACTGCTGCTCAGCCGACTGTTTTGATATTCGTAGCAGTGTTGTTGTTAAGTCTGTGGATGCTGTCGTCGAGGAATCCTCGGGTGAACTGGCCGCCCGGACCTGTCTGTTTCCCCGTGGTGGGATGTCTCCCACAGATGATGATCAGCGGTAGGAGAAGACAACCTACGGATCTTCTTCCATGGTATGATACATACGGAGATATCATGCACGTTAAATTTGGTGAACAGCACATGATAATGCTGGGAACTTATGAGCTGATCCAAGAGGCTTTCGTGAAGAACGCAGATACTGTCAGCGCCAGACCTACTTGGATCTATTTCTTAAGACGAATAGTTGGAAAAGACGGTAATTACGAGTTTTTAAATACATGAATGCAATTATCGTATATGCAAATTCACGCACCTCTACCCCCGGTATATGGTCGCACATTGCTATATCCAGGATTGTGGAAATCGTGTGTGTTTGTGCGTGTGCGCGTGTGTAAGGGAAAAAGACCCACGGAGGTAAAAAAAAAAAAAAAAAAAAAAAAAAAAAAAAAAAAAAAAAAAAAAAAAAGAGAGGTAGGGGGTAAATTGAAAGTTGATCCTCCTGAACTCACCATTCGTATCGAATTCAAATGCTATTTGTTGTTTGGAAAGTTAACCCATGACCTTATGTCTCATATTCACGTATGTAGGTTATGTAAACTTGGGTCTGCCACAAAGACAACCGACTTAGTTTTTCACTGTTTAGATTATCGGATAAATCTCCGCTGCTTGATGAGGTTCAGGGTTGTTCGTAAAAAGGGCCTTAAATTATCTTAAACATGAACTGTGTAGTACTAGTGCATGTACCGGTGTAACATGAAAATCTGACTCCCCCGTGAAAATTTGACTCCCCCATCATAAAACTTCATAAATCTTATTTTATTTTGGGTATATGACTGTAATCTTGTAGTATGTAAAAAGGAGGATAGATTGGCACATTTTTTTGTAGTTTGCAGTGAAAATTTAAATGAAAAATAAAGAAAATTAAAAATGTGCACATAATGAAAATCTGACTCCCCCATGAAAATATGACTGCCCCTCCACAAAACTTCATAAATCTTATTTTATTTTGAGTATGTGACTGTGATCTTGTAGAATGTGAAATGGAGGATACATTGGCGCTTTTTTGTAATTTGCAGGTGAAAATTTTCATGAAAAAATAAGAAAATTAAAAATGTCCAGTTAATCGCCTATTGTCTCCCCTTTGAAAAAGTTATTTAATATTTGATGATCATTTCAACACGTTTTCTTTTAGGATACTTTATGAAAAATATATTGGAAATATTTAAAGGTTTGTTGATAAAATAGTGAAAGCATGAAAAAGAAATCATGAAAATCTTTATTTTTACACCCATGAGATTTGGACTCCCATGGAGAAAAGGACCTATTTTATATTCAGTCACCATACCACTGTTTTCCACATAGTTTGCATAGAGATGGATATTTTGTCATTATTTGAAAGTTTGATGATGAAAATTTTGGTCAATATTTTTAAAACAAGTATCCATCTTTATTCTTGTAGGTTTTGCACTCCCATGTCAAAACACTACATTTTTAACACAAGAAATTGGCCCCATCGCCTTATTATTTAATTCTTAATTCTTATATAGCATACCCAACAAAACACTTGCTTTTGTTTTCCCATTATTTTCCCCAAAGCTGGATGAAAAATGGGGGTCAATTAAGCAAAAAGGATAATAATTATGCATTCTTGCGCCCATAGGACTTTGACGACCCATCTTACAAATCAAATGTTTCATATTTAATATTTTTTCCTTTAAGCTACGACATATGAATAAGCTACCACCAAACATGTCACAGTCCTATCACATTTGAAAGTTTGGTGGTGAAAACTTTTGTCAAAACTGAGAATGTTTTTTGTTGAAAGGAATTCATCTTACTACCTGTAGGATTACCTTGTCAAAATGTTTCATATTTCATTTTTAGCATTAGAAAATTTCAGTGCTCCAGGTCCTACCTGTGGCAGTTGGTTAATTGCAATTAGGTAGCTGCCAGGGCTGTGACATGTTTGGTGGTAGCCTTGTGATCTGAAGTTGATTGCAATCAAGCAATGACCACAGGCATTTCATATAGCTTAGTGTGCAGAGTTATTATTATATATACAATGAAAAGTATGTGGAAAATAGTGATATAATGACTGAATAAAAAATAATTGTCCTTTTCATGGGTGTAAAATAAATATTATACTGAATTTCTCACTATTTTTAAATTTCAAACACTTATTGCAAAAATTTTTACCCACAAAATTTAAATATTCCACATATGTTCTCCATAAGAAAACTAAAAAGTAGGAACATTTAAATGTGTGCTAAATATGAAATAAGTGCTTTTAACTAGGGGAGTTAAAATCCTACGGGTACAAGAATGCAAATTTATTATCCATTTTTCATTTATTTTCACGCAGTATTTTACCATAAAACTTTTTAATATTTCCAATAAATTTTTTCATAAAGTATCATAAAAGAAAAGTTGTCAGAATGATCATCAAGCATCAAATAAATAGCTTTTTATAGGGGAGCCATTGGGTGTTAGAAAACAAATCCTTAATTTTTCTTATTTTCATGTGTTTTATTACTTTTTTTCTCTCAATTTTTTAACCATGTGCACATTTTCAATTTTCTTATTTTTTCATTAAAATTTTCACTGCAAACTACAAAATGTGTGCCAATGTATCATCCATTTTCCATACTACAAGATCACAGTCATATACTCAAAATAAAATAAGATTTATGAAGTTTTGTGGAGGGGGAGTCATATTTTCATGGGGGAGTCAGATTTTCATTATGTGCACATTTTTAATTTTCTCATTTTTTCATTAAAATTTTCACTGCAAACTACAAAAAATGTGCCAATGTATCAACCATTTTACATACTACTAGATCACAGTCATATACTAAATTAATTAGAGATTAATGCATGTTTTTTTGTAGGGGAGTCAAATTTTCATAGGGGAACCACATTTTCATTATGTGCACATTTTTAATATTTCTTTTTTTTTATGAAAATTTTCACCTGCAAACTGCAAACTACAAAAAGTGCCAACGTATCATCCATTATGCATACTACAAAATCATAGTCATTTACTCAAATAAAATGAGATTAATGGATGTTTTTTTGGGGGGAGTCAAAATTTCATAGGGGGAGTCACATTTTCATTATGAAAATCTGACTGGGGAGTCACATTTTCATAATGAAAATCTGACTGGGGAGTCACATTTTAGGGGAGTCAGATTTTCATGGTACACCGGGTCTCGTCTCTCTGCTTCGACTGCCTGACCACCCTTGTTTCATGGTTTGATCCACCTTGGTCACATGTTTAGCCACCATAATTGTTTGGCGTGTAAAGCTTTATACAGATAGAAAGTTCCTGTGTTGCTTGTGTTGATGCGCATTTTTACGGATGTTGTTAGCCTAGAAGTTTGGCACTTTCTTTCAATAATCTGATCGTTTGTAATACGTTTTAGGCAAGTCAAGCTGATGTGCATGTAATTATCAATGTATGATTTTTGAGCTTTGTTAACTACTTATTTTCAGAACGATGATTTAGTAATCACTTGGTTGATATTGTGTAATCAGCATATTTGTCGGTTTGATATGACTAAAGAACTTAAGAGCAATTACTGATGTGAAGAACATTGAAGTGTGTAACATTTTTATTGTAATTTTGTCCTCATACAAATAAATGCATTTTATTGAAGAACACCAAGTGTTCTAGATTACTTTCAGAATAGCAAGTGTTCTAAATTCTTTTTAGAACACATCTTAGTGTTCTCAAAAAGTAACATTTGAACAAGTAAAAAGTGTTCTGAATTTACATGTGAATGTGTTCTAAAATGTGTTCTATATTTCACAACGCTTACTGTTCTAGCGTCAGAACACTGTTTAAAGCGTTCTCAAAATGTAACATTTGCACACTTGAAATGTGTTCTGTTTCATGTTTACGCGTTCCTGAACTTTAGAGTGTACTCTATCGTACCCAAGCAATTTTTTTCTTGAGTAGGATAGTATAAAGTTATCTGACATATTTTCGTGAAAACTTTATGACAAACCAAGTGTCTCCAGTTCATTTACGACTCAATTTTACCCAAGCAAATTTTTTTCTTGAGTAGATCTTTAAAGCACGGTGTTATAATACAATTTTTCGAAGAGGGGGTTTAAATCAATATTTTTAAAAAATGTAGCTTCATACTTAAAAGAATTGGGTATCTCCCACTTTTCATATTATACTAAGTTATGTACAATGCAATGAACTAAGTTATCAGTAGTGCTCTTTTTTACACCCAGCATTCTTTTTAAAAATCCGTATGTGCCTTTCTTATATCCCTTACCAGGTTAAATCTCCATGCATGATTTAAATATACTAACGTACGTAAAACTGCACATTTAGTAAACACATTTAGGTAATGATTTATTCCATGCTACTAGAAGCAAACAATGCTCTTTTACTTTCATCTGTTACATTTTTTGGGGTGTTTGAAGAAAACTTACAAATTTGAACTTGCGTTTCAAGTTATAAAATGATAAATCTTTTTAATTATTTAATATTTAAGATGAAATAACCTTCAGAAACAAATCCTCAAAGCATAAACGAATAAGTTTACGAACCATTTTATTACAGCAGTTCCCATTTTTTCTTTAATATACCGCTTTTTTCCTGTTTTTCCTCAACACGTTTTCTTCCACAAAAATAATGCCTGGGCATACGCATGCTTTAAAATACCCTGAGAGCAATGACTTTTATTATGTTTCCGACTGTGTTTGAACTCAGTTGTTTAAATATTGATATGTAATTCCATATACAAATACCAATAAAATAACCCCATGAAATAAATGAGATATATTGAAAAATATGAAAGCTCACCAAGGCGAGTTTGATACCTGTTATTACCTGGCTTGGGAAGTGCAGCGGTGCATAATAAACATGTTTTATTGTTAACGAGCTCTTAGTCAACTACAATGCATTTAAAATGCATCAGCAATTAGTAAGCATGCAAACTGATAACAGTTAATCTGAAAGACTATCAGCTTTTGATAGGATCTAAACCACCTGAGGTGACCATGATCTCGAGCATCGCAACTATTGTCACCGAAGTTAGTAAGTAAGTCACGGAAGACCGTCACAGACAAACAAAAGATTGACAACGAGTGCTACAATTTTGGTAAATCCCACAGCTCAACTCCGTTCAACACAACTTTCCTAAACTTCTCTGTCTGTATGCACTATGCAGCTCAGTTGAGTCTCA